ACAAAAGCACTTTTCTTTAGAGACCATGGATCAAAGTCGTGTCCACTTGATGTCCGAAGACATAGCGCACGCACGCGCCGTCTAAGTCCAAAACGCAAACAGTAATGCGACTTCCTGTTACAGTCGGTCAAATCCTTTGGCAAACGTCGCTTTCACGAACGCGACGTCGCCCTACTCTCCCATATCATCTTTGCTCGCGCTTATAACTAGCTAAACAAAGCAAGCTTGAAAAAACGCCTACCTCAAATACATCAATGAACCATCCGGTTGTTCTTGTACCGCAAGACGAATGTTCATGTCATTGTCTACAACGAATGCTGGGAAACGATCATTTTTCACATGTAATGTCATCGAATCAGTCAGTAGGTCGTAGATGTACACATTGTGGTACCTACAAAAATAGTTCGACTTGTAACCAATGTAAATTTCCTAGTGCAAGATCAGCAACACCACGTGCTTTTGCAGAAAGTTTGCTGAGGGGTCAGAAGTCGTTTACTTTCCAAAGAGCAACTAGCTGACTCACGATGGGTTCTGGTCGTTGAGTCCGATCAAAATTCGAGAGCTTCGATGGTTGTTGCCGAAAATTTGCGCTTTGACACCGGGTTTGTTCGAGATTATCGTGCTCTTTTGTGGATCCTGGGCAAGGGCTTCCTAAAGCGAAGAATATAGGTACTGGAATAAAAAAATGAATGAGTTGATAAATAATTCTGTTCTGATTAGCAATACAACTAACAAATCAAAGCTATTAGACAACCAAGATTTCCTTTATGTGGAGAAATTCTCAAGAAAAAAGAAATTCCTTGAGACTTCTGAAAAAATTGCTCAGTCTAAATAAATCTAAGTTGAATTCCTTGTATTTGAACCCTTTAACAGCAAAAATAAATGTTCTTCCAACCTTATAGAAAATTATTTTCTTAATTTTTGATTTTTCATGTTTCATTTTCAGTCTGTGTTAGTGCACAGAAAAGATTTTGATCGATCTACAAGTTATGAATTTTTGTGTTTAAAAATATGAGAAAATTTCTAACATCTGAGGGGCAAATGTTTGCAAATACCGAAATCGTAAGTGTGCGTAACATTTGATTTCAGACCAAAACGCTGTTCCTTTTTTGTTGCATGATTTTTTTGAAAATTAATGAAAAAGTCAAATTTTTCCACTTTCCAGCACTATTTTGTTATCAATAAACAAATCTGTGTTCGAACTAGTTGATCAATTGATTTTTCTCAGATTACTCTTTCAGGTAATACCAAAGATACATAAAGAAACATTTCTACAACATTGATTTCTGCTTAGACAAAGTTAATCTGTTTCTCCTGGAATTAATCTTTGTAATGATGCTAGAAATATTTCTACAACCTATTTACAAACCGTCAAAAACATTTTTTCGGCCAATGTATAGAAGATATCCAAAAAACTTACTTGGGAGATATTTTTCTTGAAAAGCATAG